CTTCAGCTGCGACTCCTGGTGCTTCTTTTACGGATGGTTACATCTGCCTCCTCTTCCACTTCTTCCCGACGATGGAAGCTCACTGCAATTTTATCTGTAGTCAGAGTGGCGCATGACTGAACGCGGAAGTCTCAGATCATATGCTCCTTAAAACGCAAAGCGCTGTCTGTATACCCACACTATGAACCAGTTTACAGCGTTAAGAGTGCTTTCCGTGCCTATGACTAACATCTTACGATAAGGGTGTTTTGAGACACCCAAGACATTGGGTGTTTCGGTTTGTCGAAACACCATTATTGTGGGGTGTAAGTTAAGACTCACCGAAGCACTTTTAAGGGTGTAAACTAGTTTACAGTGAGTCTTTCAGAGAATTTATGATTTAAAATTGACAGACATTGTATGGAGTCGCAAAACATGTTCGCAGACCTGGAATGCGCTCTGCACTAATTTCGTCAAACTGACATGCATTAGTATTGAATGCAATGGTACTTCGGTGGGGCTAGATTTGGGTGCACGTTAAAGAACCCCAGGTGGTCGAAATTTCCGGAGCCCTCCACTACGGCGTCTCTCATAATCATATGGTGATTTTGGGACGTTTAACCCCACATATCAATCAATCAATACTTCGGTGGGGCATTTAAATAGTTTAAAAAGCTCAATAGTTTGTTTAACTGACTTTTGTTCTAGTGGTGATTTACGTTGTAGACAGAATAATGTGCCGAGAGGCACGCCCGATGATTAATGAATAAGCGAAAATTGCAATCGCAGAGCTTTGTTTTCTTTACACGACGCCTTTAGTATATATAATCCGTTGCTGCTCTGGGTGTGGCACGAGTACACTCTAAGCATAAACAAAAGAAAAAAAGAGAGAGGGGGGGGCGCGATCTTCAATTCATCTTTGAGAGTCCTGGCTTGACTCGGCGGAAAATAGCATTATGATCTCTGAAATAGCGTATGTCTCTTTAAAGAAAGCCACCTGCATGGCAAGTCGGGACACTAAAAAAAAAAAATAAGTCAAAGGACGCTTCTTTTTTCTCTAAGAGTGCAGGGCGTGTGTTTGATTGTTCCGTGAACATTGGAAGTGGACGATGGTGTGCTTGCTGGTCCTGAAGCTATGAAAGTCGACGACCACAAGTTGACCGAAGCTCTACCCACGCGAACTAAAGGCTCACCAAATTCTAGGTGCTAGCCTGACTGAAGACATCTATATGAGGCATAAGTGTCTCCTAAGGTTTGTTTTTCTATTTATCTTGCCTGAATAACAAGAGCAGCATCGTGCATTACTCCACATTTTAGAAGAGCTACGCCATGAGCTGAGTCCTGTTTATGGAAGAATCGATAATGAATAATAAGGTGAGCAAGGTGGACAGGTGCAAGGCGAACTAATAACTAATTTTCCTTGATCCCCTCCATTACTCTACCATCTCCACTGCGCACCGAACTAATAACCTCCAAGATTGGTTCGTGGACGATATAGTAGCATCAAGAACTACGCCATTTTGTGTATGCTTGTAGTGTTGTAATAACGGGAGCTCAGGCGCGGACTTCGACCGGTGCAGTGCAAAAATAAACAGACATGATGTAAAAAAAAATCATACGTGGCCCCTGTATAGCTCTAGGCCGATTCTTACAATACGAGGCTGTAGTTCTATAACGTTTTTTTTTTTACTCGCGCGCTCACTCTCCCTCTTAAATTTGCACCGGAATCGGAAAGGAGACAAAGACGGGAGACGCTTTTCTTCACTAATCTGACCGAGCATGTATTGTTCTCGGCGATATCTCTTCGCGCTGGCTTGCCTCGGCACGGTTGTCGGTGGGCTTTGCGTCCCTCCTCTTCGAAGGGAGCCAAGCCGACAACTAAAGACCCCCAATCACCGGACGCACTCTCATCTCATCATCCACTAAGCTTCTTTCCTGCTTTCATTTTCGCCCCCACGTAATCCGAATTTCGACAGCGCTTTTCGTCCGGCCCGCCGATCTCCTCATCTGCCACTAATCCCCACAGGGCAACGCCCACGTTCCTGCGAACCCTACTCTGCATCGATCGCCCATATCTCATCGCTCGGTGGCAATGCTCTTCAGTTCGATTCAGCCAGTGGCGCACAAAGCATGTCCACATAAAACACGCAGTAACGAACCCAGAAGAAAATGTGGAATAGAAGAAGTGATGTAGAAGACGCGTTGGAAGGAGATGGTACGAGAAAATGCGGACTTGCAGGGGCCACGTCGTTTTCTGCGTAGGTTTCGCAAAAAAAGCAGCCGTTTGGCGTCCCTTCTGGTGGACCCATTCACGTGCGTGCTAAGTCGGTTCTCCTGAATCGTGCTCGAGTGCTTCAAACCGATGGTTTTCGCTCGTCGAGACTAAACGCCGTGAACCCAATGCGCCAACGTGATGCTGAACCTGCAGGTGCCTGACATCTGCAAATCTCCAAGGCGGTTTCGTGTCTTACAACTATCGAAGGTTCATTCGAAAAGAGTCTGAAACGCTGCTCACGGGCCTGAATCCTGCGTTCAAAACATTTCTTCCCAATGCACCACTGAACAATCTCTCCCGAAATGTAGTGCCATCTGCAAATGTCCGGAAGGACAAAGGTTTTACAAGGCTGCCAACAATTTCTGTCGATGTCATAACCGATCGAGATTGGTTGGCAACAGTGAAACAGCGGTTATCGTACTCGGTTGCTAACCCTAAGCTTGCGGGTTCGTTCCTGGCCGGGGCGGTCACATTTCGAAAGGGGGGGGGGGGGCGAAATCATTGAGGCCAGTGTGCTGTGCGATTCAGCATACGTTCGAAAACACCAGATGATTTAAATTTCCGTATCCCTCTACTACGGCGTCTCTCCATAGCTGTATGAGAGTTCGGAGGCGTAAAACACCGTGTAATATTATTATCATCTTCACCTGGTGGAAAAGTTAACCAATCCAAAAGCACTTGAGGCACAAAAACCTTTCAGTGCCTTCTCTCTCTTTTCCCTTCTCGTTCAGCTGTTGCCCTCTTTTCCTCCTTTGTTTGGATTGGAGGGGATGGCACGAGGCATAGACGCATAACGACTGAGGAATCGCTTCATCAGTCTAGAAAAAGACGTCTACTTGTCGAAACGTCGGCTACAGCAGCCGCCCTGTGTTTTTGAATTTCTTATTGCAAGCTTCTATCTGCGCCTCCTTGCCTTTTTTATGGATTTCAATCCTTGGGACAGTACAAAACCATGTTAGATGCACAAAGCTTTAGGGGGCAAGCAGATTCCTACGGGTTATTTTATTGTTTTCATTTGTATTATTTTTCTTTCTTGTGGCAAAACAAAGGCAGTGCTTGTCACTTGTGCTCCCATCTGAAAAAAAAAATCATGTATCGCTGAGGCTGCATTTGCATCCGTAGCTTGTCGGCGACAGCTGCAAAAAATGATGTAAACTAGTCGTGCAATGTTTAGCGTTTTGCTTTGTGTCTCCCAAACCAGTTTGTATGTGATGCGTTGAAAATAAGAAAGTGTGAAGGGAGAAACGGCAATGAAAGCTACCCTACACTGGAGGAAAGGGTGGGGCAGTGAGTTTTGAAGATTGAGAAGAAGAGAGAGAAATGAGAGCACGCACACAAAGTCACACTTCGCAGTCATCAGAACACTTAATGTTTAAAATCACTGGTGCAAGCCTGTTGCCTACAGGTATTTGAGCGCCACCTTCGTATTGTGGCGAGGACAGTCGCGTTCGATGTGCTTTCAATTCGAAAGGAGAATGACTGCACGGAGAACATTGCGAAAGACATATCAAAGCCGGGGATGTAAATCAGAATAAAAAATATCCGGTTTGCTGCCCTGTATTTATAGAAACTGCAGTGTAGGCAACAGACGCTCAGGTGAAAATGTTGCGGGCCGTGATTGGCCAGGCCAGTTTACAGTCGGTGACCAGAAGCGGGAGTCCAACGTGTGACCTGCGAGCCACATCCTTGACAACCCGGGAGATCGTTTGAGTAGCTGGACACACTGAGCCGGCTGAAGGACAGGTGCTGCACAAGTTTTTGGCCACGTAAAGAGAGTTCTACAAGAATGCGTACATGTACAACTCGTCAATGTTAACGTTCAAAGAAGAAGCGTAATAAATTTCTAGCAATCAAAGCCTTCTCCGATACCAAAAGTACATAAACCAAGAACAACTTCGTCATTATAGCCTGTTGGAAAAGATGCGTGATCATGAATGCGCCACAACGTTTCTGCGCCAACGTGACACCACCAAGTCCGAGATAACGGCTACTGCTGGATCAACTTGTCTTTCCCTTAGGTATACCGTGCCACGCCGCGGTGGTCTAGTGGCTAAGGCACTCGGCTGCTGACCCGCAGGTCGCGGGATCGAATCCCGGCTGCGGCGGCTGCAACCCCGATGGAGGTGGAAACGCTGTAGGCCCGTGTACTCAGATTTGGGTGCACGTTAAAGAACCCCAGGTGGTCGAAATTTCCGGAGCCCTCGACTACGGCGTCTCTCATAATCATGTGGTGGTTTTGGGACGTTAAACCCCGCATATCAATCAATCCCTTAGGTACCGTTTGCAGGGATCTAGCTAGCAGGCCTCGACAATATTACATTACCGGGATCGCAAGACGTAAATCACCACGAAAATGCTCGCGAAAGACCTGTCCTTATCGAGTGGACGGCGTCTTGTAATTTCGTGAAGCATGTGCACCAACTAGTCCACCAAGTTTCACTAGAATACTTGAGAGGTTTACCTACCATTCCCTTGTAGGATCTTTCATCATCATCATCATCATCATCATCATCATCATCATCATCATCATCATCCTGACTACGTCCACTGCAGGTCAAAGGCCTCTCCTATGTTCCGCCAGTTAACCTGGTCCTGTGCTTGCTGCTGCCAATTTATACCCGCGAACTTCTTAATCTCTAGGATCTTTAGGTGAAGCTAGATACTGTTGCAGTTCACGATTAAATATGCAAAGGCAAGCTTGCACGTGAACCACGCGTACTCTGACGGGGCGCTGTTCTAACCGCAGGTGCTGGCGTCTGTGCGCTACGACTGGTCCCGGTCGCAGCTGGTGTGGCTCTCGTGCAGCCGCATCGTGCTGGTGCCGCTTCTGGCGTTGTGCGCGCTGCCGCGATGGGACAGCTCGACAAGCTCCGACCTCTGGGCCATGGCCCTGTCGGTGGTGCTGGGCGTCACCAACGGCCTGCTCGGGTCACTGCCCATGATACTGGCACCTGGCAGGGTGCCCGACGACCAGAAAGAACTCACAGGTGCGTTGCTGCAATATTACTCTCCCCTTTTTCGGCGAGGTTTTAGGTGCACGAGTTTGACGATATAACTACATCGATGAAAACAAGTAGCGACAAACAAGCAAGACGCCCAACCTGCAACGGAGATAATTAAGACTTATCTTACAACTGATCTCTCTTTACTTACCATCGCAAGTCTTTTTTTTATAAGTTTGAATTTATTTATTCATTTATTTATTTATTTATTTATTTATTTATTTATTTATTTATTTATTGTACCTTCAAGGCTTTACAGCATTGCAGAGGGGAGCGGGCACTGACAAACAATGTTAAAGAAAAGAATGCACAGACACTAGAAAGTTATTAAACACTGGGAAGCCACTATCATCAACTGAAACTATGTTATACAGCCATGTATTTATTGTTTTATGACATGTATTATGACAAACTATGTTATATGACATGTATTTATTGAAAACAACCGGCAAGAACCCACCAGCATGCTCTTACTAAAACCAGTGTGCCTTTTGAGACATGTGCTGGCATCTAAAATTAAAAAAGAATAAGATTTGATCTTAACACTTACTACGTCGACAAGTGAGCAAAACCTGAATACTGCGTTTTGATAAGTCGGTGATGAGACACTTGGAGTGTACCACAATCAGATGTTTACATATGATGGTGAAAAGGTGCGATGATATTGACAACGGAGGAATCCGATTTTTATTATTATTTATTTGTTTCATTTGATCAATGTCACACGAAAAGTGACGGTATCAAATAGCTGAAGTGTAAGGGGGCGAATTATTTATTGTGAAGTCATTTTTTGGTACAACACTGCAGACAGTAGAATTGAAGCAGGAGAGGATGTACATAAACAGACACAAAAACTAAAAGATCAAAACATTTTGCGTAGCAAGGGTTAGTGTACGTCTCAGTGTTTTATTCATTAAAGTTAATTTCAGGTATCAAAGTTTAAGATGTGTTTTTTTATGGATTTGAATATTGTGAGCATGCCAAAATGAATCAATAACGTAGGACAAACAAGTGATGCTGGCATTATAAGAGCGATTCCGTGCCTTCTTTTGATGGCCAAGAAATATTACCATAAAACTGATTTTGGTGAACTAGAAAAGTTCGGGCGTCGGTCAGTTGGCGATTTATGACTAGCGAAAGGCAAGCATGATTTAGTAACGTTAGTTTTTATTCGCAACGTCATCGCAGTACCGTGACAAATCATTCCTCGGTTCCCATTGATCATTAGCGTCAGTAACAGTGGTGTGAAGGACGCGTTCGCCAGCATGTAAAGGCACGGCTTGAATTTTCGCCACATAATTAGTGTGAATTGCAAATAATAGGCCGAAGCACTGGGCCTCATATGACAGCATGTCAGTAGGCAGTTACCTTTATTTTTTTCTTTTGTGATCAGGAAGGTACCTGCAATGGTGGTCTTGTTGTTCCTGAATGCTGACACTCAGGTCGCGCTGGCCACAATTTCGATGAAGGCAAAAATACTTGAGGCCGATGTACTATCAGCGTCAAATGAAAGTCTAACAGCGGCAAGCCTTCACGACAGCGTAGTGCGTGCCATCCGGTTATCACCACTGAAATTCGCGCGCATTCTGTTCGGCAGCTCACAGCATATATATGTGTGCCTGTCCGTGGTGATATGTAGTAGATGGCGCGCTCTATACCATCACGAAGGCCTGCCCCTGTTCTGGTTCAATTTCACGCCTATGGTATGTAAGGACATACACTATGAAAAAAAAAAAAAGATTGACTAAGAACGGTATAATTCTGTCCTACGTCAACAATGGTCATCCGGCTAGCTATAGCGCTTCCTCTCTTAAAGAACTTGTCTTTGGCCTCTTTCTTATCAGGAAAGCTATGTCATGAGACCTGAAAGACCTGGGTGCGCGCTGATAGTGCAAAGAAAGGAACGTAAGATACGTAGACGGCGAATGTTGTTGTGGGACAAAAAGACGCCCTTTTAGATGCGAAGCGCCTTATGGTCGAGCCAATGGTCTGCTCACTGTTTCTGCCGTGGGCTATGACGTCACTCCATTTAGACCGCCGCGTTTCGCTGCACAGACTTGCCCATTCCCGCCGCTCGACAGACATGCATTGTCAAGCCTGACGAATGTTTACGTGGCGTGCTGGTCTGGTTGTTGGCGGCTCGAGAATACGGTGTTTTTTCTGCGTCCGTGTGCAGCGTGGATAGGTGATGCACTTTGTGCACTGGATGTTCGCGATGCGCCGGCTGCAAATCCGAACGGTGACGAATCGTCGCGGAAAATGTACTGAAGTGACGAGTGTTCTCGTTTGCTAAGGGTAACCGAAGAACAAAATGGGAGCGTGTCGTTCGTCGAGCTGAAGTCGACATCCGTTTTCTTCGTGACTCAAAGGTATGTGTGCCCGTAGTACACTTTTCCGGGTCGTCCCAATGGCACCACCATATCCCGTTCTTGCATTAAAATGAAGGTGCACGTTATGTGTGCTTCTGACTTGTTAGCGTAAAACCTGTCATTAATATAACAAACGCGCGTGGTAGTACATTTTTAGAACAGACGTTTTTCTTTCAGCGTTGGTAAACATTTTGCTATTAGCGATTACCACCGCGGAATTCTTGCATTACCTACATTTACTTGGTTGAGAAAAAAAGGAAGGAAAGCCGTTGCATTGCTTAGTGCATCGGTTTTGTGCGTAGTTTTTTTCCTGCCGGTGTTCAAACGAATTAATTAGGGTATTATAGTTTCGCGCCAATCTCGCCAGCACATTCGACTAGTATGTTTCCTTGAAATTCAGATGCCTGGAGACACTTACGGTGAAGTGCTTTGCTAAACAATTCTCAGGCGTGTGAGCTCTATTTCAAACTAGAATATTTAGGAACCACTACCGAATATACCAATCCAAGTGCCGGCCGTGCAGTAGAAGTGCCCCCGGGAGCTACATGGTTTAATTTAAACACTGGCTAACATTTTTCTCGGGCTCAAGTGTTGTGAGCGACTACGCACCAGTGCGAGGGGGGCCAGAGCCTTTTTTTTTTCATTTTTTTGTGGAAGAAATTGTTCGTAGATAAATCTCCAAACGCTCTCAAGCGCAACAAATCACTTAAACCAGCACTTTTTTAGTCAAAGGCATAATAAAGCTATTAAGCAACTAAATGTTGCTGCGAACGCTCTATCTTTTGACGGAAGACTATGGTGGCAAAGGATTCACAGCCTCCTGCACACGCGCATGCTTGGTCAATGCGGGTGACGTCACGGTGGCAGTGAACAGAACTGAAAATATTTTCTCGGTGGCATTATTGATTGATATGTGGGGTTTAACGTCCCAAAACCACCATATGATTATGAGAGACGCCGTAGTGGAGGGCTCCGGAGATTTCGACCACCAGGAGTTCTTAACGTGCACCCAAATCTAAGCACACGGGCCAACAACGTTTCCGCCTCCATCGGAAATGCAGCCGCCGCAGCCGGGATTCGATCCCGCGACCTGCGTGTCAGCAGCCGAGTACCTTAGCCACTACACCACCGCGGCGGAGCCTCGGTGGCATTAGTCGAGCTCAATCCGTTGTGCGGTGTGACCACCTTTACTGCACATGCGCGTCCCTTACCGTTCTCTCTTCCCCTACGCTTCTCCTCTCTCGCCTCGCAGCGCCGACGCCGGCAGCGTCTGCTAGCCTGCGCTGACTCCTCCCCCTCTCTCTCCTCTATAGACGCCCCTCCTTTCAGCAAGTATGCAAGCCCCCTCCTCCTCCTCCTTCCCATGCTCCCCTTTTCGTTTCGCAACCATGTAGCAACGCCGACGCAGGCAGCGTCTGTTTGCGAGCTCCTTAAGTGAAAAATTTTTAGATGCGCAGCATCTAATACTCGAGGCTTGTAGTGCGGCGCCGTCCGCAAGCTTCCTCCTCCTTCTTCCACCATCTGTGCATCCCTTCCTCCTCTACACACCGCGCGCGCTTCACTCCCCCACCATCTGTGCACCCTTCCTCCTCTACACACCGCGTGCGCTTCTCCTCTTCACGAACATTCGCTAGCTGTATAATGTAGCGCGCATGCGCCGTCACGCTTCGAGAACATCGGCAGCTGACGCGCGCGCATGCGCCGTTGCGTTTCTCCCCCTTCTCGAACATTCGACAGCTGACGCGCGCATGCACCGTCACCCTCCATCTGTGCCGCGCGCGCTTCTCCCCTTCGAGAACATTCTACAATTCTCCTGATTCTCCAGTGGACGCGCATGCGCCGTCGCGCTTCGAGAACATTCAACAGCTGACAGTGCATGCGCCGTCGCGCTGTATATATACTCAAGGTCGGCGCTCGCTCGCTCAGTTGCCGCTCGTCGGTTGGTTTGTACGGCGCGTCGACGTCCAAGGTCGCGGTGAAATGAATTCCAACGAATCCACAAACACAATGATCGACGTCCCTTCCACCAGCGCCGCCCTTTCGCATACGTGTGTACGTGTTCACTCATTTAACACCCCCTCCTACTACCACGTTAACCAATTTAGCCATCGACCCAAGTAAGTCGCACTTTAACACCCCGTTAACCAATTATATGCTCCGCATCCTCCTCAGTGTTCCCCCGAGGGAAGCTGCGGGCAATCTTTTTTGACTGCTCGCGCTGCACCACCGTTCACTGGCCCCCCATATATATATATATATATATATATATATATATATATATATATATATATATATGTACTGGATTCTGGCCTACAAGGTAGTACCGGCGGAAGGTTTTTTCTGTGCGTTGTTGAACGATGAAAATGCGCAGCATGCGCGTTACCTAAAAGCGGACTGCGGATCTCTGTGTCCTGCCGTAGTCTTCTGTCTCTCGTTGCCCGTTAGCAGTGATTGACATGTTTCAGTAAGAAACACTGGTCCATCACTGCTTGCTTTGAACCTCTTCAGGTTTCTCTCCTGCGAAACACCGCGATGAGTGCCATCGTCAACGTCGCCGCCAGTGTAAGTGCTGGCGCCCGCTGCTTCGCATCTACATATGATTCCCTTTAGCGGGAG